TTAAATCGATGTTTCGGATCCTGCCAAAACCATTTTTTGTTATGAACTTCGTGAAAGGATAAAGTAAACTAAATAACCATGGTCATCCAGCACAAGACCTTGCAGTCTAGAGGCGAAGATGATGGTCTCCCAAGTCTTAAATCGATGTTTCGAATCCATGCTAAAACTATTTTTTATGAACTTCGTGAAAGGATAAAGTAGACTAAATAACCAGGGTCATCCAGCACAAGACTTGCTGTCTAGTGGCGAAGACGATGGTCTCCCAAGTGGTAAATCGATGGTTCGAATCCTACCATAACCGTTTTCATTATGAACTTCGTGGAAAGGGTAAAGTAAACTAAATAACCATGGCTATCCAGCACAAGATCTTGCGTCTAGTGGCGAGGACAATGGTCTTATAAGTGGCAAATCGATGGTTCGAATCCTACCATAACCGTTTTTCATTATGAACTTCGTAAGAACGGTAAAATAGATCAAATAAACATAGCCGTTCACCCGAAGAACTTGTGGTCTTGTGGCAAAGACAATTTTCTCCCAAGTGTTAAATCGATGTTTCGAATCCCGCCAAAACTATTTTTTTATGAACTTCGTGAAAGGATAAAGTAGACTAAATAACCAGGGTCATCCAGCACAAGATCTGGTGGTCTAGTGGCGAAAACAATGGTCTCCCAAGTGTTAAATCGATGGTTCGAACCCTACCATAACCATTTCATTATAAACTTCGTGAAAACGATAAAGTAGATCAAATAAACATAGCCGTTCCCCCGAAGAACTTGTGGTCTAGTGGCTAAGAAAATTTCCCCCCAAGTGTTAAATCGATGTTTCGGATCCTGCCAAAACCATTTTTTGATTATGAACTTCGTGAAAGGATAAAGTAAACTAAATAACCATGGTCATCCAACACAAGACCTTGCAGTCTAGAGGCGAAGATAATGGTCTCCCAAGCCTTAAATCGATGGTTCGAATCCTACCATAACCGTTTTCATTATGAACTTCGTTAAAAGGATAAAGTAAATTAAATAGCCATAACCGTTCAGCCAAGATCTTGCTGTCTAGTGGCGAGGGCGATGGTCTCCCAAGTGGTAAATCGATGGTTCGAATCCTACCATAACCGTTTTTCATTATGAACTTCGTGGAAAGGGTAAAGTAAACTAAATAACCATTTTCATCCAGCACAAGACCTTGCGGTCTAGAGGCGAGGGCGATGGTCTCCCAAGTGTTAAATCGATGGTTCGAATCGTACCATAACCGTTTTCATTATGAACTTCGTAAAAGGATAAAGTAAACTAAATAACCATGGCTATCCAGCGCAAGATCTTGCAGTCTAGTGGCGAGGACAATGGTCTCAGAAGTGGTAAATCGATGGTTCGAATCCTACCATAACCATTTTTTTTATGAGCTTCGTGAAAGGATAAAGTAAACTAAATAACCATGGTCATCCAGCGCAAGACCTTGCGGTCTAGAGGCAAAGACGATGGTCTCCCAAGTATTAAATCGATGGTTCGAATCCTACCTTAACCGTTTTCATTATGAACTTCGTTAAAAGGATAAAATAAATTAAATGACCATTACCGTTCAGCACAAGATCTTGCTGTCTAGTGGCGAGGGAGATGGTCTCCCAAGTGGTAAATCGATGGTTCGAATCCTACCATACCCTTTTTTATTATGAACTTCGTTAAAAAGTAAAGTAGATCAAATAAACATAGCCGTTCACCCAAAGAACTTGTGGTCAAGTGGCTAAGGCAATTTTCTTCCAAGTGTTAAATCGATGTTTCGAATCCTGCCAAAACTATTTTTTATTATGAACTTCGTGAAAGGATAAAGTAGACTAAATAACCAGGGTCATTCAGCACAAGACCTTGTGGTCTTGTGGCAAAGGCAATTTTCTCCCAAGTGTTAAATCGATGTTTCGAATCCCGCCAAAACTATTTTTTATTATGAACTTCGTGAAAGGATAGAGTAGACTAAATAACCAGGGTCATCCAGCACAAGACCTTGCGGTCTAGTGGCGAAGACGATGGTCTCCCAAGTGTTAAATCGATGGTGCGAATCCTACCATAACCGTTTTTCATTATGAACTTCGTGAAAAGGATAAAGTAAATTAAATAACCATAACCGTTCAGCACAAGACCTTGTGGTCTAGTGGCGAAAACAATGGTCTCCGAAGTGTTAAATCGATGGTTCGAATCCTACCATAACCGTTTTTCATTATGAACTTTGTGAAAAGGATAAAGTAAATTAAATGACCATGGGCGTTCAGCTCCAGATCTTGTAGTCTATGTGATATATATATTGAATATTTAATTAGGCTGTAAGGTATAAATATGCATGCGTAATTAGCAGCGTTGTTGGCTTGCTGGATGATGCTGTAACATAGAATAAAACAGAGAATAAAACATTTTATGAAGACTAGATCAATCTGTATCAATCCGTATCAGAGACAAGGCATATACACTACAATTGGGCTCACTGAGGAGAAAGTCAGGGCTGTGGTGAATGCTACGGAGCCGAAAACAGCCTCTGAAGTTCGGAGTTTTCTTGGTCTGGTAAATTTCTGTAGTCTGTTCATTCCAGATTTAGCTATAACGGCTGAACCCTGCGGAAGTTAACCAGGACAACTACACCTTTTGTTTGTGGTAATGAACAGAATAAGGTGTTTCAAGAGCTTAAGAATACGATGTCTACCGCTGATTCATTGGCTTTTTTTGATAAAGATGCAGAAACGTCGATAATCTCAGATACTAGTCCTGTTGGTCTTGGTGCAGTGCTTGTGCAAAAGCAACAAAATGTAATGAAGGTTGTGGCATATGCTAGTAGATGTCTTTCTGACATGGAAAGGCGGTATTCTCAGACGCAGAAAGAAGCATTAAGTATAGTATGGGCTTGTGAGCGTTTTCATGTGTATTTGTTCGGGATTCACTTTGAGGTTTTGACAGACCATAAACCATTAGAAGTGATTTATTCCAAAACCCATAGGCCCTCTGCACGAGTCGAAACGTGGGTTCTGAGATTGCAGAATTATGATTTTACTGTTAAGTATCTTCCGGGTCCAGAAAACATCGCGGACACGTTGTCTCGGAAACAGTTGTTGAAGAAATCGATCGAATCCAGCGGTCGTGACTGTGAAGTTTCGCGTCAAAACGGATAGCTATCGCCTAAACCAAGAAGGCAGTGTTGGCCTCCTAAACGTTTTGGTGATTATTTACTATATAAGTAATTCGTAGTACTTTATGATACCTTATAGTACTATAATATATATATATTGAAGTTTTAGAAACAGTAGAATTAAGCGAACATTATCATGTATACAAAGTGCGAAAACCTATGGAAAAATCATTTAAAATCTGTTTCTAAAAAGTGTTTGCAACATTTCTTCCATAGCATGTTACTAGCCCTATTGGTGCCACTGGGTTATATGTAAATGTTAAATATGATACTGATTTAATGAATATTTAAACAGTAAACATATACTCTATAGATATGTAAATATATAATGTAGTACAATGTAATTAAAAAAAACAACTTATCTCCAATATTAAACATCACAACGAGTAAATCCTCTTGGCATAAATTTTAAGTTCCAAAAACAACAATGGTATGTGCAGTTGCAAGCAAACTGCGTGTTTGCACCGACTATAACCATCATGTGAATGATTGTACAGTATAATATAAAACAAAATATTTACGAAGGAAATAAGAAATTTATGTAATGTGATTTTATAAATAGACTATTAAGGCAAGGTGTTCCCCCAAGGGGATACGCCTTGCCGACGATAATTAAAAATCTTATATTATGGGCTTTGCGTCCTATCTAAAAGACCGACAAGTAATGGATGGCACGCAATATGGGAAAGGTGGTCAATGGCCAGCAGCAAATCGAAAACTAACAAAGACCGAATACCCAAACCATAAACAATCAGTTTAAGCGTGACATCGCGAAAGACAGATCTCCTTTAAAGTTGAAAGGTATTTACAGAAGTGTTCTACTTGTTTTTCTATATATTTATATATTGATATACATATAGATAGTAGCTACGAATACACAATGGTACCCCCAAAAGTTTTGGTCCTGGGACACTCATTTGTTCGTCGCCTACAGTGCGACCTGAAACATAAACGGGATATTTGCATGTGCCCAACCTTTAAACTCAAGGGCACAGCGAGAGTTTCTCTACACGGTATAGGGGGTAGAACAGTGAAGAAGATTCGTGTAGGATATCGTGTTAGTATCGATATTTATTCACCTATGTTTCTAGATATATATTACACTTCTAACGAAAATATTAATGTTTACTCGAAGACTCCGTATTCCGTTTTTTTTTATATATATATTATTTGTCCTTTTATATGTCTCTGTTCGTACGCATGAGTACCTAATTATGCGCATATTTAGTTCTATTTTGTTACTGAGGGATCGTTATTTGCTACGACACTACATCCCTCCCCTCTTATATATTTTTCCGTCTATTATGTATGAAAATCCTTGTATATTGTTTGCTTTGTCGATATTCTATTCCTCATTGGTCGTGGGCTCCTCTGTCTCGTCGGCTCTCTCTCTTCTCTATCAGGTTGCATCTGCCTACTTAATGATGGTTGCCATTCATTGTCGCTTTCTTCATCCTCAGCGCATTTCAATTGAGCTGTTATCATCGAGCCTTTCCTTGCGATCACCACAAACTGTTCCGGATTATAACGAGGGGTTAAGCTGTCAATTTTGTCCTGCTCCACAAGTATTTTGTCTCCCACTTCGATGTGTATCGCTTTGGTATGTCTCCTGCTGTCTGCATAGGCCTTGCACTTTTGTTTGGCAGTTGCGTCTCTTTGTCGGATGGTTGCGTCAGATACTGTCTTCTTCGCCATTCGAGGTGGTAGACGACCATTCAGTTCCCTCCCAAAGATCAACTTGTTGGGGGTTTCTCCGGTGTTTCCATGTGGCGTGTCTCGATAGCTTCTGATTGTTTTTTGAATTTCCTGTCGGATGTTCTTTCCTTCTATTTTCGCTATCTTCGCACTTTTTTTATGATTTGAATCATTCTTTCGACATCACCATTTGCCTCGGCCCATTTTGGAGTAACTTTCCGGTGTTTAAAACCCAGCGTTTTTGCAAATTCTGAAAATTTTCCCGAGTTGAATGGTGGTCCATTATCTGTCTTTATCTCTTTTGGAGTACCATATGTAGTGAAGATACGTTCCAGCGCACGTATTGTTGTTTCTGCCGATGTTGTGGTGACGAATTCGACTACTGGGTATTTGGCATATTGATCCCACATTACCAATATCGTATCTTTGTTTGGTAAGGGTCCCGCGAAGTCCATGCTGACTTTTTCCCATGGTCCATCTGGTAGTTCTGTCATTTGTAGTGGCTCTCTGTTATTCAATGGCGTAGTTGCTTGACATCCCAAACACTTGTCCGTGTAGTTTTTCACTGCTGCATCTATTCCCGGGAACCAGACGTGTGCACGGAGCATTTGTTTAGTTCGTACTACTCCTTGATGTCCTTCGTGGGCAATCTGTATCATTCGTTTCTGCAACTTGTCTGGGACTACCATTCTTTCACCTCGCATGATCAGGTCGTCCACCAATGCCAGTTCCTGGAATACGTTTTTATATCCACTGATATCCTCTGTATTCACCATTTGTCCTCTTTTTATGCATTGCGACAGTTTTCTCATTGCTGGGTCTTCTTTCACAGCCTGCTTCATTTCCTCTATACTAATCGAGATAGGCACGTCATTTTGGAGAATATAGTTCACATATTGTTTTACTTCCTTACTTGTGCTTAGCTCTTGCTTGGTACACTCCTTACGCGGTAGCGGGTGCCTTGAAGTATAATCGGATATGTTGCTCTTTCCCGGCCTGTATTCTACCTTGAAATCGTAGTCCACAATCCTTACCAAGATTCTCTGTAGCCGTATTGAGGTTTGATGTCTTGGATTATTTATGATTGCTTCTAATGGTTTGTGGTCCGTGATTATTGTAAAAGGTATTCCGTATAAATACAGGTGAAATTTCTTACATGCGAAATCTACAGCCAGGGTTTCCAGCTCAATCTGTGAGTACCTGCTTTCTGTATCTGTCAACGAGCGGCTTGCGTATTGTACTACTCGCCACGGTCCCTCTTTGTCACTTCTTTGCACCAGTGTTGCTGATATCCCCAGAGGACACCCATCTACGTGAACTTCGTGTTCCGCCTTGGGATCGAAGTACACTAGGCTGGTCTCGTCACACAATCCTTTTTTTAGGTTTTCGAATGCTCTCTGGTGTTCAGTTTCCCATTTAAAATGTTCGTCTTTCAAAAGGCTCCTCAATTTTTCAGTCGAAGGTGCAAATCTTTTCATAAATCTAGCGTTATACTGCACTGTGCATAAAAATGAATTAAGTTCCTTGGCATTCCGTGGTGGAGATGTTGTTTTGATTGCCTGAACTTTGCCCGGGTCTGGGCTTACTCCATCCTTCGAGAATACTAACCCGAAATATAAACACTTGTCTTTGCTAAATTCGCACTTCGATTTATTGAAAGTAACCTGTTTATCTTTCGCTGTTTCAAGAAGTAGTTCTAGTCTTTCGTCGTGCTCCTGTTGATTTCTCCCCGATACCAGTATATCGTCGCTGATATTAATAACGCCTGGTATGTGCTGGGTCAGTTCTTCCCGTATTTTGTTTTGAAATATGTCACCAGCTGATTTCGTCCCATAGTTGAGTCTCTTATACCTGTAGAATCCGGTATGTGTCGTGAAGGTTGTTATATCACGGCTGTTTTCTTCAAGCTCCAACTGGTGGTATCCATGGTTCATATCTAGGTGGGAAAAGACTTCCGCTCCATTTAATTCATGTATCACTTCTTCGATTTGTTGGATTTGTTACATATTTTACATTCTTTACCCCAGGCTGGGCATTTGGTCCTTCCACCTTGATGCGGGAATTTTCCACCACAAAAGAAGCATTTCTTTGATGATTCGGTTTTTTCTGGTGTTATTCTTGTTTCATGTATTTCTTCGACTCGTAATTTTTCATACTTAAGTCCTTTCTCGATCGTCGATGCTTGGCTATCTGCTATCTCTTGTGCTCTTGCGAACTCAAGCGCTTCTTGTAGCGTATGTTCTTTACTCAGCAATTGTCGTCGTAGTCTTTTCGATTTTCCTTTATCTATGATCTGCAATTGTATTTCGGTGTCTTGCCAGCCCTCTGGGAATTCACATAATCTCGCTGCTTGCTTTAATCTTGTGCAATAATCATCGCTGGTTTCGTCTTGTTCTTGTTGGATTTGTCTGAGTTGGTATATGTTGTAAAGATTGTTCCTTTTGGGTTGAAAATATTCTGCAAGCTTCGAAGCCGCCGTTTCGAAATCGTCTCCTGTTTCCTCTAGCGTTTCAAAAATGTCTTGCACCTTGAATCCCGCGGTGTGTAGAAATAGGGCTCTTTTTCTGGCTTTGTCTTTAATATCCATTGCGATTATATAGTTCTTAAATCGATCAACGTATTTGGTAAATCTGTTGCCGACTGTCGTTTGATCTACGTCTGGGTCAAACGGCGGAAAGTTTATAGACATGCTATTAGCCATGTTAACACGTGTATAACTTTTATGATTATAGCTTTAGGTGTTTGTCTAGTTATCCTCGTCGCCAATGTAGGATATCGTGTTAGTATCGATATTTATTCACCTATGTTTCTAGATATATATTACACTTCTAACGAAAATATTAATGTTTACTCGAAGACTCCGTATTCCGTTTTTTTTTTATATATATATTATTTGTCCTTTTATATGTCTCTGTTCGTACGCATGAGTACCTAATTATGCGCATATTTAGTTCTATTTTGTTACTGAGGGATCGTTATTTGCTACGACACTACAATTCGCAAATTTGATTTAGGCGTAGTTTCTCGGTGTGCCCCAGATATTGTTATTCTGGAGATAGGCACGAACGATTTGTCCTCCTTAAGGCCCGAAACAGTCGGGTCACGCATTGACGACTTGGTTGCTTTATTGCTGGATCAATATCACGTAAAATTGGTATGCGCATGCATGATTTCCCCGCGAAAGAACAACCCTCTTTTTGAAAAGCAGCGTTTAACTTAATGCTGAACAATTATCTACAGGTAGTTTTAGAGAAGGTCCCGAGAGTGTTTTTATGGACACACCATGGCTTTATACGACCTTCCGTGACGCCATTTCTACCTGACGGGGTCCATTTTAATCGAATCGGGCAATATAAATTATACCGAAGTTATCGGGGGGCCATTCTTCAAGAAATTAAAATGTTATAAAATTCTCTATCTATATCTATATATATATATATATATATATATATATATAATATATATAATATATATATATATATAATATATATATATATATATATATATATATATATATATATATATATATATATATATATATAGATAGATAGATAGATAGATGGTTTATTGACTTAAAACTTGCAGCCTCGGCAATAGGCTCCGGCTGAAAAACCTTAAGTGTTACAAAAAGTATGATCTATGTTATTAAAATCCATAAAAGTGGAGGTTCAATTGGTAAAACTATCTATTTACATTATTTAGTGTCTCAGATATATTATACGTATTTACTAGAGTTGAAATTGATAAAATCGTTTTTAAATCTAAATGTTCTACAGTTTGGAACTTGAAATATTCTTCTTTCTCTCAGAGATGCCTCAGATAAATTTAATGCTGGTAATAAATGGTGTAATTTGTCTTGCGGATCATTAACAATTTGCCGAAAAAGTTTATCGGTCAAATTTTGTCTTCGATCGAACAGTGACAAGAGACCTAGTTGATTAAGTCCATCCTCGTACGAATGTTCGGGGAGGATTATTCTGCAAGCTCGGCGTTGTAATCTTTCGAGATCGTCTGACAGGTATTTTGTAAGGGAATCGTGGAATACTTCGCACGCGTATTCAGCAACCGGCCGAATACAAGTAACGTAGAACAAGAGAAGATCCTTGGATGGTAACTTTGCCCGTTTCAATTGTCGCAAGAAGTATAGACGAGTTGAAATCTTCTTGCATAATCTTCTTGCTTATATATAACAAGCTGTCGTACATTACATTTACTTTTATAATATAACCTTGACATTTGACAAACTTTACTCGTGATTACTTCTTAAATACCGCTTTAGCGCCTTTATCTATTATATCTTTATCTTTTATCTATATGAGAGTTCTCACACTGTTTGTGAGTTTTGTTGGCCATATGATGAACGGTGCGGCGATCTTCTGATCTGCCATGTTCATCCTGCTGACGTTTGATTTTGTCTTTATCTCTCATCTATATGAGAGGTCTCACACTTTTTGTGAGTTTTTTGTTGGCCATAGGGTGAATGGTGCGGCGATCTTCGGATCTGCCATGTTCATCCTGCTGACGTTTGATTTTGTCTTTATCTCTCATCTGTATCAGAGTTCTCACACTTTTTGTGAGTTTTGTTGGCCACAGGGTGAACGGTGCGGCGATCTTCGGAACCGCCATGTTCATCCTGCTGACGTTTGATTTTCTAATCATTCTTTCACAAGTTCCAATTTTCAATTACGACAAATAACGGACGAATCCTCACTATTGAATGTTCGCCATTACGGGGATAGTTTTTATTTCTCGCACAACGACAAAATTTGGGTGCGGTTGCTTTACATCTAAAAATCATTACGCCATAAGTATCTATTTCTGCTTTTAAAGTTTTATTTCTTAGAATGCCACCCGTACGTCGTTCTAAGCGTGTCGCCGCTCCATCAGCCGTTTTTGCGAGAGTCTGTTCAGAACCAACCAACAACATCTCGTCGAACTCGAAGTTCGTCCAATGCTGTATCTGTTGGTGCCGCCCCGTCAACGTCAACTGTGCCCGTGAGTCAAGTGACTTTGCCCTCTCTTTCGAGTGAGCTTATCTCAACGCTGGTGTCTTCGGTTACCGAGGCAGTCACGCAAAAGCTAGCTGGTTTCTTACCAACCTTTGTGTCTTCCACATCCACAATGGTGTCTGCCCCAACGGATTCTACCTCCGGAATCGAAATCTCAAACCAGGGTCCCAATGCAGATTCTCTGGTCAACGACGCGCTCACGTCCATACAAGAAAACCTTACAGGTCAGACCACTCCTTTTTCTCTTCAATGTTCAAGTGCCCCGGGTCCACGGGAATCGTTCCACTCTGCCGTTTGCCTCTTGATTCGCGGATTCCGGATAAAATAAAGCTTAAAATATGGAATGAGGAGTTTGTCGATATAAGTACTTTGTCAGGTGGCCCAGACGCGGCCGCTAAATACGAGATTAGTGTACGTACCTCTGACAACGGTCAACCTGCTTCTCTTCTCCTTGAGCCGACTGCGAAATCCAAAAGGGTCAAATATTAGCGATTGGCTTCGTTCGTTTCATATTTTTGTTTCCATTATACACAACGGTACCCCCATGAGTCCCCCGCGCTCATGAAATATTGTCAAATCATCCAGGATTTGGCCAATAGGGGTCATAATTGGTTTTACTACGATGAGAATTTTCGATTTTTGCGCCAAACACAGGCCACGCGCGTTCCCTGGGCGACTGTTCACTGGGAGTTATGGTTGAAATGTCATTATCCCACTACTTCTAAGCCGAACACGCAAGGCAGCAATCATACGCGCCACCCTTCAAAAGTGTCTGTTCCTCGGGGATATTGTTTTAAGTTTCATCGCGGAACGTTTTGTGCCGGTTGTGATTT